ATTAGAAAGATTTTTTTTTAAAAAAAAATTGTTATATCCCAAGTGTGGAGGGTTACACTGGATGTAAGATATGGTTTGTGTTGTGTTGTGGTTTAAATTTGGTTTGTATTTCTTTCTTTCTACTTCTGTATTATTTTGCAGTGTTTACTTTAAATTTTTTAATAAAAATAATACAGGGGGGGGAAATTAGAAGTCGAAAATATAGCAGCCAGGCTGTTCTCTGACGTATGCTTTCAATACCATGTAACACCAGCCTTAAAACAATTGCTCTGGCTTCCAGTTTGCCTCCAAGCTCAATTCAACATCTGGTTTTTGTTACATAAAGCCTTTTAAATGAGCTGGGACCAGGATATTTGAGAGACTGCCTCCTCCTATATGTACTTGCCCAGAGTCTGAGATCCTCATCAGAAACTCTGTTGCATATCCCCTCACCCCGAAAGGTTCAGTTGGTGGGTACAAAAGACAGGGCTTTCTCTGAAGTGGCACCTCAATTGTGGAACTGCCTCACAGGAAAGTTAGGGTGACTCTTTCTCTGTTGCACTGCAGCTGAAACAGTTATCCTTCCCAAATGCTTTTGGTCTCGAGGATTTATTTTTTTTTAAAAAAACCTGGCTTTTAGAGATCGTTTTAGACCTGATTTTGACTAATGCTCTTAATCTGTTTCTTTTAAAATAATTTTTGAAAGCTATTTTAAATAATTTTAATTGTCTGTCAATTCCATGGGCAGCACTGGCAGAAGGATGACAAAATAAATACTTTGAACGAATGAATGAATCATGTATGTGAGAAGTAAGGGAATAACAGAAGCCCCCCTTCCTTCCAGGATAAACAAACTTCTACTTGTTACATTATCTTTGCTTGAGATGCTGATTTTTCTTTTGAAGTGCTATGTCTAACTAGCATGGGAATTTTTAAAAATAAATTTATTTTATAAAAAAGCATAGTAATTATGTTGATACTTCCAAGTATTTTTCTTGCCAGCCTTGTGAATCTAATAAGCAGCATAACTGTCTTCAGTTTCCTTCCTTGGAATGAGAGTCTGTAGGAGCAGATGTACAAACAATTTCAAGATGATGTACAAAGCCCGGGAACGAAAACTTTGAGACATTTTGTGGAAGTTGTTTACCAGGTTTTGAGGGGAAGGGGGTTTGCTAGTCTAGATTTGGAAAGTGGCATGGAATGAGACACTTGCATTTTTTTTTTGCAAATTAAATTTTTTTGCTGTTTTGGGTAAACCTTTGTATTAAGTTCCTTGTACTGAAGACATTACTTTTAAGTACAGTGCTAAGAAGCTATCGGGCACCTGGGTTCTTGGCTGTGTTTCAAGATAAAAAAATCAGTGAAAAACAGAACAAATATAAATACCTACATTTAGTTCTTGTCTCCTTTAAATGCATATCACTAAGACAACCCTTCTTTCCTCACCTGAGATGGCTAGCCCAAGATTTTGGGGACCATGGAGAGCGTTTGTTGTGTAATTATATATATATATATTGTATGCCATCAAGTCAACAACTAAATCACTGAGCTCTCAAGCCAGCCTGCTTAATAATGAGCCTTTCAATATTAGAGAGGTAAACGCAACACTCTATAATTAGTTCTTGCCTCATAATACAATGAAGTTGCCCTCTAGTGGTTGAAGAGAGTAAAGCTTTTTAAATCCTTTCTCCCCCCCCCTAAGGGAAAGAAGGGAACAGATTCTTCTGCTGTTCTGAAGAATGAAAAATTCTGCAGTTACTAAAAGGAAAACGTTTTCTGAGGTGAGCAAATTACAGGGCAAAGATCTTTGGATAACACTTTAAAAAAAACATTCCCTCTGCCCCTTAAAACCTTGTGTGGAGTTCGCAGGCCGCTTTCACAGAGGATTTCTTGCTTTGTGCATACTTGTGCTGGTCATGTGACCACCATCTGGATTCAATGAGATTCCCATTCACAGGCTGAGATATACAGATGGTGCTGTGTTCTTTTCCCAGAGATAACTGGCGTTATTATTTCAGCAGCAAAATATTTTCAGGAAGGGAATGGACTGAAACTGATGAGAAGCTCTTTCCCTCCCTTTTGAGCCAAAGCAACACCCCACAATAAAAATGAATAATGTGTGTTACAACTTTTCATATTTAACCCCCCCCCATCTTGGATTAAAAATGGAAGATTATAGAGCCTCTGTGTGTATATGTAACATGTTGTTTTCACTATAGTGTAGGGTGGGAAACTCACAGTTCTGTTCAGGTAGATGTGTTTGCTAGTGGCCTGTGCCATGCCTCCCAGTGAACCCCCTATTACAATGAAAATTTGTATATTTAAGCAGCAAGTACTAGCAGCTGTTAAACTAGTGCCAAGTAGATGCGATTACTTAATGGTCCCTATGTTGTGCCTATGGCGTACTTAAGGAAAAAAAAATCATGATTTATGTTATTCCTATCCTTCTCTATGGAGAACCAACCCAGTGAAACCAGTTCCTCTAGGCGGTGTCGGTTCTGACTTCCAAAGCCTTCCCATCACCTCTTTCCAAAATAAACCTTATGGAGGACAGCCAAATGGTACCAGATCATCTGCCCTTATTCTCCTATACCCAACTTCCAAGGCTGGCTTGATAAATGGGAGGAGAGTGCTTATTCCAATGATACCTGCCCTTTGTCCTTCCAGAGGTTACAGGAACAGGAATCAAGAAAGACATATCCCTTTCCTTTCTGAAAAGTGACACTTCCTTTCCAGTTTGCTGCCTATGTAAGAGGATGGTAGGAAATGAAACAAAGCAGAATAGGTGCCAGAATTTGTTGTGTGAAGCACATTCTCAGTTTGCTCGGGGAATCCGTGAGACGTCTCCTGCCATCTGCCTGTGAAAGCCAAGTATGCGCAGTAGCAGATGCCCCCCCCCTGCAAAGTTCTTCCTACAAAAGTAGGACACTCAAGAAGCAAGTGGAGGAAATGGCAGCCTGGCCAGCTCTTCAAGCAAGCTGGAAGCAGTGGATGGCAAAGAGAAGCCAAAGTGCTTCTCTTCTAGGTGAAGAAAATCCTTTCACAGCGTTCAGACGGAGGAAGTGCTTTCTGTTCAGGGAGACTGATGTCACTGAGATTCAGGGGCCCTTATCTTCAAGGAAGTGGGTAGTCTCAAATGACTGGACCTCGAGAAATCAAACACTGCTTGTTCCAATTATGCGTTGCTCATCTTCACTTCATAGTTACATAGTTAAGCATTTTTCTTCCTTGGAAAGGATATGGCCACAATATTTAGACGTTTCCTATTTTTTAAAAAACTGACGAATTAGAGCAGTTTCTTTACTTAACTGTTTAGAATCTGATATTCAGCTATAAGCAGCCTTGTTTGGGAGGGAGGGTGGAAATCAGGGGGAAAAAGCCAGGTTTCGTTTTTGATCTTTTTTATTCAAAAGTTTTCAAAAGAAATAAAACAGAAAAAAAAGCTAACAATCTAATCAAATTTACAGTTCAAAAATGTCTTTTGGCATTTAACAATAAGTCCTAGGAAACAAAATGACAGAGTTATCTTGAACCGGACAAATAAGTTACCACTGGCAAGTTTGTGGCACTAGTAAAACAAAATAAAAAATTAACTCTCTTGATCATATAGATATCTCTATGAAAATCTTTTTTTTCAATCTGTACAAAAGGTCTTTCTTCATAAATTATTTTTTTTTATAATTTAATGGCTGTCTACTATGTGATGTTTAAGTAACTGATTATTTCTTTATGTACAGAGGTTACATTTTGCAAATCTTACCCAGATAATGAGTATGGCACTTAGTCCAGACTTTTTTTTTTTAGCAGCTTCTATTCCCTCCCTCTGACCTAACAATGTTTAGCTAATTGAAAGAAAACAAGTAGCAAACAACCCCCTTTGCCCCAGATCTGGAAATACGCCAGCTACAGGGAATGAGTTGCAAGAAGTCTGAACTGTTTGACAAAGCAGTCAATTCCAGGGAGCATAGAACCAATAATACCACAACTTTTTTTTTCCTTTAAAAAAAGAATTTAAAAAAATAAACAAAAAGAAACAAACACATTTCTTATGACTATGTAATTTACTAGAATCTACACTTCTCAGAGCAGCATTGACTTTTGAAACTATGAAATGTCACTGACATCTGTACTTGGAATACTCACATAAAATTTAAAAACTTTTTTTAAAAAAAGGAAAAAAAGAAAAAAAGAAGAAGAAAAGAAGTGAAAAGAAAGAATTGCTTAGGCCTAGCTCCTGAGCTAGGATGATTTGGTCTGTGGTAACAGGGAGGGCCAGCAACCTGTCCCATTACAAAAGGAAATAAACTTTGAGGTAGATAACTGATCATACACAGTTGACCAGACACGTACACAGTTTTGGAAGACAACTTAATTTATCACTTGATTTAATACACATGCGATCATAATAAAAACGAGCTTTAATAGCGGTGAGTTTATCTAATACGTAAAAAGTACAAATAACAGTGTATTTGTGAAATCAGGAATTTCATAGTTTCAAAATGTTTTTTTTCTCTTTACACTTAACACTTGTAGTGATGATGTAAAGTGTGGCACTGCTTGGATCCAAGTCTTCCTTCATGCTTTTTTTGTTTGTTTGTGTCCATACATCAATTAAAAATTATAAAACCTAAATGCAAATGTACAAAAAAAGGCACATTCTTCTAACCGCAAACTGGTCCGGCAAAAATAATAATAATAATAATAAAGAGTACAGAAGACGTAACTGCTGAGACAAATCAGGATTATTGGTTACTGGCTCTTTGTTCTTTGGTAAAGTTACCTTTAAAAAGTGCCAAGTCTTTATTTACCTAATATAGAGAGCTAGTACCCAATCTAGTATGTTTTCTACTTACATCTCAGCTTATGTTTTGGAAAAAAAAGAAGTCTTTTAGCTTTTGCTGTAAAAGCAAATGCTTCTAATCGGCTAGGTCTCAGTACAGTATCATTCTAAAGCACTATCATTACTAGAAAGGAAGGACAGAAACATTCTCCAATTTCCCCCCCACCCCGCCCCACCACAAACCTCCCCACCCTAAAACTAGACCATCAATTAGCTTCTGGAAAAAGGCAAAAAGATTTGTTTACATTGCATCATACAGCAGAGTTCCTAACTAGCAGAGGAAAACTAATTGGCGTAAGGCCTTACAAACAATTTATCCTATTAAAATTTCCCCAGTCAGAAAAATGTGTTTCACACAAAACATTTCCCTACCCCCCAATCTTGCATTTCACAACCTTACATTATTATGTGAGGAAAAAAATCATTAAAAACACCTACTACACATTTTTTAAAAGCCAGATTTTTCAGCAATTTTAATTGACTACCTCTTAAAAGCCCTATCCTGCTGTTTTACAAAGGCATAATAGACCAGCTCATTTGGTCAAAAGCATTCTACACCATTAGTTTGGACTACGTACTGAAACAGCTACAGCATTAAAAGAGTTAAGGCAAATTGGAATTGATAGAAAAAGGATAAGACACTTCACACTACCTTAAAAGAAACAAACAGAAAGCTATGGAAACCGACACTACAACTGCAACACGGCACTAGAGCGACACTCACACAGCAAGCACAGAGCATCGGCATGGATGATTTAAACTAGTAACTTCAAAAAAAAATCTTATGCAATTTTTTAAAAATTATAAGAAAATAAAATAAAAAACCCAAGAGACGGATTCTGTCATGCACATGAATATGTCTCCATTGCAATCTGTGCATGGCTAGAATTTTTCTTTTTTTTTCTTTTCCTTTTTTTTGTCATTAACACTTGATAAAAAATTTCTTACTAAAATAAACCTGTCTGGGGCGGGCTGGGGGGGGGAAACAGCTACTAGGATGAATTTAAGGATTTTTTTCTTTTTCTTTTTTATGCACCTTATAGAACTTATAGCAAAAATAGTTTCAGTTGATTTCATTATAAATAACGTTTTCAAGAACCTGTGCAAAACTGTCAATAATTTCTAAAGCACAATTGATCAGTAAAATCCATGATTGTTTCAGCCTTTGCATCCTTCTCTAGGCAAGGTCAACACAACATATCTGAAAACGAGAAGAAAAGAAAACATGTCTCAGTCTTTATCTTATTCGTAACCTCCGGCCTGTGTAGCCCTTCATTGGCTGGAACCCTACACAGGGGGCCCAAGACCAGCAGCGTAACTTCCAGCAGCAAACTGCCACAAGCCAAGACGTTGTTGCACTCTGGGTACACTGCGAGAAGACTCACAAGAAAAGGCAATAATGCTGAGAAAAGTGGAAAGCAGCAGGAAAAGAAGACGGCCCAACGTAAGATGGATTGACCCAACAAAGTTTGCAGGTGTTGAACAGGACTGTTAATGACAGGAAATTTTAAATGCCATTTATTTTTAATGTCATTTATTGTACCTATTACACTGATTCACACGACTGGTGTGCGACAGGAAATGCCTATGTCGACTTCTTCTCTTGAGGCAATTCACCGCGGAAAGATATGCCACAGCATTACATGGATAGGCATAAGTCATAGGATTCTGATTACTGAGATGTAAATTCAGAACTCAACCTGAGTAAATGCATATGACGACCCATTATAAGCCATGCATGCATGCATATGCACACCCTAAATCTGGCCACATAACAATCGTCACATATTTCTGAACGGAGAAACTGGAGCTCATATTCCTCAGGTGGAATTACCGTATTTTTTGCTCCATAAGACGCACTTTTTTCCCTCCAAAATGTGGGGAGGAATGTCCGTGCGTCTTATGGACCGAAGGCAGCAATTTCATTGCCGCTGGCCCCGTGGGGGGAGCATCGCAAGGGTCCGGGTGAGCCTTCCAGGACCCTTGCGAGCCCCCCCCAAACCCCCGTGGGGCCAGCG